CCTGCAACGACTTTTCCATGTGCTGTATTCAGATACGGCTTCCCCGTCTGCAATTATCCCTGCCAGCTTCGCAGGACATCCGGAATTTCTAGTAGATCCGCGAAAACTGCTTTCGCTGTAATCACGTTTAACGCGTAACGCACGACTATCTCTAACTTCCGGCGCAAGCACTCCGCATATACAGGCGTTGCATTTCGAATGAATATAGGAGCCGTAGAACCAGATCAGAACGTCGTTTCGTGAATAAAATACGTTGTTGCTGCTGCGTCCGGAGCTATTACAGCGACACAAACAACTCTATACGGAGATCGTGAGAGACTATATACTATAGCTGTTGCTGCGCAGTGCGTCTACGTGCATGGTGCCTACTGCCTAGCAGCGCCTTACGACTTCTGTTCTCGTGCTTGAGCCTACATCGCGATGTGCATGCGCGCGCAGCGGTGTTACAACACAGGCGCATGGCTTCACTGCATGAAGCAGCAGCAGCATCAATAGCAGGAGCAGCAGGAGCAATAGCAGGAGTAGTAGCAGTGCTAGGCTCCTGTCAGGGCTGCGTGCGCTTACCTCATTAGGGTTCACCCTCATTAGACCGCACTCTGCATGCGTGCGACGAGCGTAACTGCCGCTGCGAGTAAACACGCGCAGGTGTCTTCCCGTTTCGCCATTTTCCCACTTCGCCATTTCCCATTACGCCATTTCCCATTTCGCCAGTTTCCCATTTCGCCATTTTCCCACTTCGCCATTTCCCATTTCGCCATTTCCCATTTCGCCAGTTTCCCATTTCGCCATTTTCCCACTTCGCCATTTTCCCATTTCGCCATTTTCCCACTTCGCCATTTTCCCACTTCGCCAGTTTTCCATTTCGCCAATATTTTATGTTGCTTCCACCCCCTGCACGAAATTGATCCTTCCATTCTTAAAAAAGAGTCATTTCTAGGGTTAGGGATAGGGTTAGGGCTAGGGTTAGGGTTAGGGTTAGGGTGCCTGTACATGATCCATATGTTTCGATATGTACGATTTCGCCTTCTTGTTCTTCAAATAAATAGTTGACTCCATATCTAAAGATTCGTTATAATTTATTCATTAGAGGCCTACTTATTCATTACTTATTACTTATTCATTACTTATTACTTATTCATTACTTATTACTTATTATTATTACTTATTATTATTATTATTATTATTACTTATTATTACTTATTATTACTTATTATTACTTATTATTACTTATTCATTACTTATTACTTATTCATGTTTAAAGATTCGTTATAATTTATTCATTACAGAGGCCTACTTTCAACCCACCTTGAACAAGGGGGTGGTCGGGGAGATAGGACGAAATGGCGGAATGGGAAACTGGCGAAGTGGGAAACTGGCGAAAGGGGAAACTGGCGAAGTGGGAAACTGGCGAAGTGGGAAACTGGCGAAATGGGAAACTGGCGAAAGGGGAAACTGGCGAAGTGGGAAAATGGCGAAGTGGGAAACTGGCGAAGTGGGAAACTGGCGAAAGGGGAAACTGGCGAAATGGGAAACTGGCGAAGTGGGAAACTGGCGAAGTGGGAAACTGGCGAAGTGGGAAACTGGCGAAATGGGAAAATGGCGAAATGGGAAAATGGCGAAATGGGAAATGGCGAAATGGGAAATTTTAATGGCGAAATGGGAAATGGCGAAGTGGGAAAATGGCGAAACGGGAATAAACCAGATCTCCGCGTGCACATGCACTGCATGACGTCACGTGGTGTGCTTGATCGGCTGCCCCGGAAAAATGATTAACGAGACCCTTCTAGTGTGCTATGGTGTCTATCAGCTAACGAGTGTGCAATCTCGATGAGTTGGCCTTAACGAAATTGGCTAGAAGCACGACGTAAGGAAATGGGATAGTGGAAATAATCAGGAGTTAATAAAGAAAGTCGTTTTGTCTTTATTAACTCCTGAAATAATGTAAATAGGACATCCGTATGTGGGAAACATGCATAGTGCAGAAATAATGACTTACTTCGGCGTTTAATAGACAGTTTCGAAACTACAAGAGAACACAAGTCGTGGTCGATCCGTGTAGAAAGGCGACTGCTGTTTTAAATTAATACCGGGTAAAATCATTGATTACGTATACAAAGGGAGAGGACACATATGTGAGCACGTACACATGAGTAAATATCGCCTGTGCATAACCAACCAAATTAAAATCATCACATGTAGAATTGATTATGCATATGTCATAGTAGATTGCTTGCTGACCCTTGCATCTATTCACGTTCTATAATAAACCACATACAGGTAAAGCTATAGTACTAATAATTTCCCTTTAATGTTATATTAGTTCGGATAACTTTAGTCCCTATAGTCATTAGTCACGTATCCGTATGCATTTGTCGGTCATTTAGCCACGATGACAACGGACAATCGTCAAGGGGCGTCTTGACAGAGTGTACATTATTCCAACCGTACTCGCATCAATGCAGCAGCTATCGTCGAGGACAGTAAAAGATGATATAATGCTGCCTTCAGTGATCTATCAATCCAACCGTGTCATCGTACAGTTAACAGCGAATCCAGTATCGCTTTCAGCGATCTGTCAATTCAACCGAGTTCTTCGACAGTTAAAAGCAAATCCTCATACGATTAACATTGAATCCAATGGTCCCCTCGACGATCTATCAATCCAACTGTGTCCTCCTACAGTTAACAGTGAATACAACAGTGCCTTCAGCGATCTATCAATCCAACTGTGTCCTCATACAGTTAACAGTGAATCCAGTATCGTCTTCAGCGATCTCTCAATCCAACCACGTTCTTTGACAGTTAAAAGCAAATCCAATATGTCCTTCGCAGTTATATCAAGTCAAACGAGTTCTCGTAAATCCAACAGCGTCAGCACAAACTCAGCCGTACCATAATCAAACCTAGTTGCACCATCAGTATTTAATGACCTCTACTGATGTGATATTCGGATGATATACGATGGTGTGACATATGACTGATAAATATTATACGGTTATTATTACGATTATTATTAAGATTATTATTACGATAAATGTTATCCGATACTATACACCGTTTCTACTAATCTGGCAGCTCTCACCATAACGCACATAGCATATCTGACATACCATCATGAATTCCGGCATGTCAGCTCCGATACCGCAATGCTTTCAACTACGCCATCGCTAACCCAACGATTTCATCAGTAATCGATGTATTTACATGTATTACGTCATCACCAAACCCATAATGATACAGGCACCTGGAGATATCCGTAGGAGCACCGATAGTAAACCAACAATCGTCTCGTAATAATATAGACTAACGTCTCACATTACTTCTATATATTATCTAACCATATAAAAATGTAAATACATCATGCTCAAGTTGCAACGAGACGTCGCGGTAGACATTTTTCGCATTAGATCACTCAGAGATATCAACTCTCCACTTTAAACGTATTTTTTTCTTCTTCACAAAATGTAGTCACTAACTCAGATACAAGGGTATCCGCGAATTCAGGTGTGCGCGTATGCTACAGTATACCATCTTAAAATAACCCCATACAAGTGATTGAGAGCTACATGGCCCAGGAGAAATCTGATGGTCGACTGGAGTCGATCGCTAGGAGGATCGCTACTGCCATTTCTGCTATCATTTGTGATCTTGTGTGTACGAGAAGCAGGCGCGATTCGTATTGGCAACAACAGGAAACATGTGGTGGTGGGGGAGGGGGCGCATCTCGCGCCTTCGTCCGAACGTCGCGCTTTCGTAGTCTCGTATTGGTAGCGTTCGTAGTTCGACGTGGCTTCATTTCCGACGACCTCGTCTGTTTACATGGTGCTTCGTTTCCGTTGTGGGGCGGTCTATTAGTAAGCCGGAACGCACTGCATGCACAGCTCTCGATGCGGGTCAATACAAGGCGAATTGAAAACGCCATTTGGTGTGGAGATGGCTTTCCGCGTACGCATGTGCGTGTATGTCTGTGCGCGTGTGCAGGTGTTGTATATAAATAAATAAATAAATATATATATATATATATATGTGTGTGTGTGTGTGTGTGTGTGTGTGTGTGTGTGTGTGTGTGTGTTGTGTGGTGTGTGTGTGTGTGTTGTGTGTGTGTGTGTGTTGGTGTGTGTGTGTGTGTCAAGGTGGACCTAGTTGACAGCGTTGACACGCGACGATGATCGTTGTGATATAGCTGCAATGATGACGAGACACGAGAGATATTTATTCTCATATCATTTTACTAAACTACTTAACTAATTAATTATCATTTATATATTATTACAGTTATCTAACAAACTGTTTTCTAGCAAAACATGCTTGAGTACAAACACCAATTCCCAACATGATGTTGTACGTGTCTGTAATATGTAGATGAAGACAATGAACAAAATAAGATGTAGTAATCGTAATGGATTACGAGAATTTTAGTGGTTTATAAAACAATTGTTATAAATATAATTGATTCTCCTACGAGTAGGAACATCTTGCTATCCCCCAGCACTCTATACGTCTGAACATGTTTATATATTCGCACATATTTCGGACAGGTCTTGGACGTGAAGCGATGAAGCGTGGTAATTCCTCCTCGGGTTAATGAATAAAGGCCATACACACACCACACACAACACACACACACACACACACACACACACACACACACACACACACACACACACACACACACACACACACACACACACCACACACACACACACAACACACACACACACACACACACACACACACACACACTACATAATATATATATATTATCATTATATATATATATTGTATACGGTATTTGCTAAGGATCACTTTAGTTGATGCTAACGTGGTCCCACGCACGTGTCCATTCACTTCCAGGTGCATATTACAAAGGAAACAATTAATTGACGTTTGTTAATTTGTTTGTGTATATAGTAGTAATGCTTGGAGTTATTGCGCCTCGCCGGAACAAGTTTCATTCATTGTCAGCATCCTGCCAGTGAATGTGTTTCTATTGCGTGCCTCAACTTTCAGCTACTCATGGACTTCCTATACCGAAACCTAATCGATTGGCAAGCTTCTCCGTCTCGACGTTTCTTGAAATTCCGGATTAGAAGAAGTGCGACCTGGACCTGAAGGTGTCGATTAACGTGTGTAAACATTCGACCAGCCTTACGTCCTGGCACGTACCTGAACTCTGCTCTATATAAAAGCACGGAAATAACGTTTGGTGCAACCACACGCGCACCGACGTAAGCACGAAACACGTGAAACATCTGCGAGGGTAAGTGCCATTAATGAAGCTGCTAAAGTGTAGGTGTTATATATATACTTTTTTTTTCTGTTCGTTGCAAAGCAATTTTGAGTTTCGACGTGTGTTCAATCTGTTGAAGTGATGTGTACGTACGTGTGGATTGTATATATATATATATATATATATATATATTCTTACACAGATAAACAGAATTAATCATCATGCAGCTCTCTACTGCACTACTTGTATTGGTAATTAGTTCTATACAAATCAGAGACGGAACGACCGCCTTCGCACCAACGTTAGTAGGTGAGTAAAACTTAAGATTTCTACTTTTACAAGTTAATACATACGCATGTGTTTGTGTGTGTGTGTGTGTGTGTGTGTGTGTGTGTGTGTGTGCGCGCGCGTGCGCGTGCGTTTGTACGTATATGTGTGTAAGGATATGTCAAAGTGCGTGTATTATATATCGTCACTTAGTTATAATTACTGGCGCGTTCACGTCAATCTATAGTACAAACTCGTCGGAAATGTTGAATTTTCGAATTAATCGTTAATAATCTAACCCTTTGCTTCGGCTACGCAGATAAGGTGATCGTGTGTCGCGGCGATGCGACGGACGTCACCCTGACGTTTGAATCGGGCTTCAGTGGTGAGGTATTCGCCGACGGTTTCCACGCCGACAGCAGATGTCGGGCGAGCGGTTCGGGAGCCGAATCACTCACACTGCAGGTCGATCATAACGAATGCGGAGTCTTCCAAAACACCGCCGTACGTTTATTCTAGACGTGTAATAGTTTGCGTATACTAATGCTAATAATACTATGAAATAGTGCATGCATCTATATTTATATAATGTAGGATGTATAATAATATATATAATAAGATAAGCTGTGATGAGATCAGATATCATAGATATAGGATCAAGAGCTAATAATACCTATTATTAGAGGTACTATTAGCTCTTGATAGGATAAGATAAGATGGATTATCAGATATAGTACGTACGTGTACATGCGCGTTTTCAACAACGCATTGTGAATGCGCGTGGCAAAGTAAATTTAACTACGCATGCAAAATCCTCATCAAAAATACATGCTTCGTCACAGGAACAAACGTACGCGGTGTTTGTGACCGTTGCTCAGCGTCAGAATCTGATCGGAGCCTACGACCTGATGTTCCTCGTCACCTGTCACTACGACGTTGTCACGGCGGTGACGATCAGCGCTAATGACCTAGAGGTGGGACAGCTGTCCACCGTCCTCGTGCACAACACGCCTCCGCCGCCGCAGATTCGCCTCACGGTGTGGGAAGGCAGCGACAGTGACGACAAGACGACACCTGCAACCTTCGTCGACATCGGCGAATCTCTGCTGCTCGTTGCTAGCTTAGAAGATGCCAGTAAGTGCAATGCTAATTTACTCGAGCAGATAATAGTCGCCAAATATACGGGTGATACGTAAAAATTAATAAAACAACGATTAGACGTTCACGCTCACATACCACCACAACCAAATCCCCCCACAGGAGGCAAGAGCCTCGCACGACTGTATATCTATTTGCGTGATACGTTCCCGTGATTTTACGAAGCCGCTGACACACCGTTTTCTTGTCATACAGGTATCTATCAGAATATCCTTCTATATGACTGCCGCGCGTTCAGTGCGGCTGATCAGAGCTTCCAAGTGGAACTAGTTGACAGCGCCGAGTAAGTAATCTCTACGACGTCAAATAAATTAATATATACGTCTCTAACGAGAGACTATGTATTCCTGAGTAATCGAATGCAAATTTTTTTGTATCAAAATGACTCACGGTCCTAGTAATCGCACCAGTAATCTCTACGAGATTGAATAAATTAATCTATACGTCTCTAACGAAAGACTAGGTATTTTTGAATAATCTAAGACTAATGGAAAAACCTTTTATCGTGAAACGTTACTATGGTAAGGGGGACTAGCTGCCCAACATCCCAATGTCCCGCAAAGTTAAATGAAACAATAGTTACATTGTGTGCTATTGGTCGGCGCCAGTGTCCTGCATGAATAATAGTGTATAATGTCAAAAAAAAATCACGAGTAGCTTAAAATGAGAAATGACGATGCTTATGCCTCCGATCCCATTAATAATTATATCGACACAACTTCCCTCTAACGAGGCACAGATTATAGCGCCAGGTCTCTGTCCGCAAATGCTTAATATCTGCTAAAAGCAATGATAATTTCTCATGTGAAATCACGTGTTTAAAAGATAGAGCGTGAAGTAGTGTAATGTAAAAGGGGGGCTACTAAAGGTGGGCTAATAAAGGGTGTTCTACTAAATGGTTACTTCTAAAAGGGGGTTTTCTACTAATGCTATAACGGGCCCTATCTTCCTTCCCGACACCTCAATTTCCTGCAAAGTCGAATAAAATAACGTTTACAGTTGTGTGCCGTTGGTCGGCGCTGGGTTCGTGCATGAGTAGTAGTGTATGATGGCGAAATATATACATATATATATATATATATATATATATATATATATATATACATGTATTATTTTGTAAAAAATATGGAGAGTGCAGATTCACGAGTAGTTTGATATGAAAAATGATACTTTGCAAATGCCAACAATGATAACTGTTCATGCAGTTATCCTAACTTCTCTCTAACGGGGCACAGCTTATAGCGCAAGATCTCTGTCCGGCTATGCCAACAACAATCAACTGCCATATGTCATCTGTTAACAACAATCATATTTTTTTGAAGTCATGTATTCAAATAGAGAGAGAGCAGAGATTCTGGAATAGTGTAATACAAAAAGGTTCTATAGATAATACACATAGGCCCAACTTACATACTTTTATTAAAAATAAAAATAAAAATTACAAAAATAATTATAAGATAATGAATTATAATGAACAAACTTGTGTAACTGTTGCAATAAATAAATTGTCTTCGTCCTACCCGCTGCGTACAATTATTATCACAAATAACATTTCCTTTCAGATGTGTGAATGCCGATCTAGTCGATGAGGTCATCCTGACGGAGAAAGTACAGAAGCGTGTGGGAGGTGACAGTCCGGTGGAGAAGTGGATTACCTTCCGGGCATTTAAGTTCCCCGATGATGACGTCGTCCGCTTCCGATGCCAGGCGTTCGCTTGTTTCTTGGCTTCTGATTGTGATGACACGGTACGCCTTCCGATTATGCCTCACGAATTACACTCGAGGTAGGCTTAGATACAAATATCTCGAAAAATGGCCTAAATATCTTTCCGGAATATCTCCAAAATATCTCTAAATATCTCCATTTTTTTTCTAAATATCCCCACATTTTTTCTAAATATCTCAGTTATTTCAACGTAATGTATTTTAAACATATTTATTTTGTGCGAAAAAATCGCAATACAGAATTATATTAAATAAAATTTATAAAAAAAATTAAAATAATATAAATTAAAAAATTTTATACAGAAAAAGACAAGCTCATCCTTACAAACCCTTAATATTTGAGAAAATTTTGTTTTATCTTCTAAATATTAAGGAATTTTCTAAATATCCAGATTTTTCTAAATATCCCGAAAACTTCTAAATATCTAAAAAGATATCCGGATATTTGTATCTAAGCCTAACTCGAGGTTACCTAATTTCGCCTCTTTGCTGTCCATAACTATACGTCACTGATCATCCGCTCCACGTGTTTCAGTGTTCACACGTCAGGAGAAGGAAGCGTGCGACGAAGGAAGAGTTTATACAGAGCGATGTTCCGATGGTGACACTCAGTGGCGAGATCCGAGTGCGCAAGACTAACGCTTCTCCTATAAGCCAAGGTAGACTCAATTTATTTCATCACATGTGGTCAACCCATGTCTCATAAATCAACATGAACATGATATTTTGCGATTCATTATGATATTGTCATTATTAGATTTTAATTGTCATTTTATTTATTTTTCATCTTATTGCTAATTGTAAATTAACATTTGACGTAATGCTCACGAATATATATGACGTGATGTCACTCTTACTCATCATAAACGTCGTTCTAGTGAATGGGTTTCGTGTAGATTTCGCGGCTGTGGGATTGTTATCATTTGAAAGATTACGTTAAGCTCAGGTTTTCGTTTCGTATCGCGAGTTTAGTGGTCATAGTTAACAGATTACGTGTGGGCGAATTTACGTATATCGAGTTATCGTAACGTGGGGCATTACTAATGTGGCTATAACATTGCAGCAGACGACAACGTTGGCCGTGCCGACGACATCTGTATTCCATCTTCTGGCTTCGCTCTCGGACTAGCTTTCTTCCTCATCGCCATTGTCATCATCGTCGTCTCTGCCTTCCTCATACGTCTGCGTTGTAGACGTGACGTCAGCGAACCGTTGGCATAACGACGGATTTGGAATATTAATTAAGAAGGCTGTAATAAGAACAAGCTATACATTAATTAAGTAGCTTTGCGTGATCTAAGACGCGAGTTCGGATGTGGAACGGATTTCGGTGTACCTTATAGCTTATATATATCAAGAGCTAATAATATCTCTTTATTTAGAGGTATTATTAGCTCTTGTATATATATATAATGTTACAGCCTAATATTGTATATATATTGTATATGATCATCATGCTGTACATGTATATTGATGATGTATCTATCATAGGAATCATAAGTAGATCTAACCTGTAACCGATTCTGTGCTGTAAATACGCGATCAAAACACTGTGGGATATACTTGCTCTATTAAGTTATGTAAAATACCATGTAAGTGATATTGATGGTTTTTTTGTGTGGTTTTTATTGCTTATGGGAACTTATTTGTTTTATTGTAATATATTTTTATATACGAAGAAACGCTTTCAGTGTCTACAGCGCAGTAAATGAGAACGCCACCTTTTAGATCGTTGTTTTGGAATGGCACAAAACACAAATGTATTTTTATTCAGTCCTTATATGATGAAGCTATAATAACTGTATGATAACTAGATTGCGCGTTAACTAAGTGAAATTGCAACTATCATCATGTAAATAAATTGCTTTACAAATAGCTTGTCTTGAGTATTGACATATTACATGCAAACTGCAGTTCTACAATGTAATGAATTATGAAAATACTTCCTTCCTCCAAGCAATTAGTTTAGACTAATTTCCAACCGAGTCTTAATTATGTCTACGCCGAATAACTCTATGCAAATGTAATTTGCAAAGACAATTCTACATTCATTAGCAAATTACGAAGTAGCTGCGTAATATGTGGACACAAAAGAGCGGGCGTGGTAGCAATTATAGCATAGAAAATTTCTTTGTCTAACTTTCTTGTGAAATACAAGGGCATATTCAATTGATCAAAACAACGCTAGGAACACAAGAGAGAAGTAGGGGGTAGAGAGAGAGAAAGAAAGAGAGAGAGAGAGAGAAAGAGAGAGAGAGAGAGAGACAGAGAGAGATAGAGAGAGAGAGAGAGAGAGAGAGAGAGAGAGAGAGAGAGAGAGAGAGAGAGAGAGAGAAGAGAGAGA